AACTACTCTGGAGTGTGTTGAACATCTTGAATAATTGTCATTACAGATAATGTTTAGCTATTTTTCTATTCTTTTATATTACAGTGGTACCTTGGTTCTCAAACGCCTTGGTACTCAAACAACTTGGAACCCCAACACTGCAAATCCTGAAGTGTTCTGGTTTGCGAACTTTTGACAGAAGCCAAACGTGCTCCGTTTTGAGTGCCAGTGTGGTGTAGTGGTTAAGAGCGGTAGTCTCGTAATCTGGGGAACCGGGTTCGAGTCTCCGCTCCTCCACATGCAGCTGCTGGGTGACCCTGGGCCAGTCACACTTCTCTGAAGTCTCTCAGCCCCACTCACCTCACAGAGTGTTTGTTGTGGGGGAGGAAGGGAAAGGAGGATGTTAGCCGCTTTGAGACTCCTGAAAGGGAGTGAAAGGCGGGATATCAAATCCAAACTCTTCTTCTTCTTCTTCTTCACACTTCCGTTTTGAGTGTTACACTGAGGGTTGTCTGTTTTTGCTATTTACCGGTATTTTGTGTTTTTGTGGCTCTTTTTGTGTGTGACTGTGTAGAACCCACTTCAGCTACTGATTGATTGACTGTGCGACTGCAGTACATTGTTAATTGCTTTCATTTTATGGATCAATGGTCTCATTAAACAGTAAAAATCATGTTAAATTGCTGTTTTAGTTGTTGTTTTTAAAAGTCTGGAACGGATTAATCCATTTTGCATTACTTTCTATCGGAAAGTGCGCCTTGGTTTTGGAACGCTTTGGTTTTGGAATGGACTTCCGGAACAGATTAAGTTTAAGAACCAAGGTACCACTGTATATGATGTAAATGAGATAAAGGGTTTCTTTTTTCTTTTAGTTATTTCTTATCTGTTCTTTTTCTTTTTATATATATATAATTGTGTTTTGCAATACAGTGGTACCTCGCGTTAAGTACTTAATTCGTTCCGGAGGTCTGTTCTTAACCTGAAACTCTTCTTAACCTGAAGCACCACTTTAGCTAATGGGGCCTCCCGCTGTCACTGCACTGCCGGAGCACAATTTCTGTTCTCATCCTGAAGCAAAGTTCTTAACCCGAGGTACTATTTCTGGGTTAGCAGAGTCTGTAACCTGAAGCGTCTGTAACCCGAGGTACCACTGTATTCTATTTTATATTTTCTTTTCCTTTATTATTATTATTCTGTTAGGATTTTAGGACTTAATATGTTAAAAACCTTCAATAAAATTGCTCTTTTTAAAATAATAATAAAAAAATACAGTTTTAAATGGAGATGCTGGGGACTGACCTGGGAAAGTTGTGCATGAAAACCTGGCAGTTCCCCCTATCCTTCTTCGTAAACAGTCCCACGTACCACCGCAGTGCAGAAGATGTCACAATCCGAACCCACATCTCCAACCTGCCCTTTCCAGATATGCTGTACTTAATCCCCCGAGCCGTACCTCTGCAGGCCAAATCTAGGGACACACATGCTACTTCCAAGCGAGCTTGTTATTAACTTCCAAACTCAAGTTGCCCATCAGTTACGGGACAGATAACTGAGTGAGGCAGAGGCCAAAGACGCAAGGAAGCGCTGGATGTTATGTAAGCAGAGCATCAGAGACAGAAAGTGCTTATCTAAGCTTCCAGCGAGCTTGTTTTACTCCTCTCCATCTCCCCTTTTGTTACAAGAGCCTCTTATCTGATCTCTCCTCGTATTTATTGGGTTCTCTAACCCTTTCCTTGCCCTCTTGTGCTCTAAAGTTCCACTGAAAAGCTCTCCAACAGCTCGCTACTTGGAAACCGAAATATTATGCAGCTAAACTGGGACAAGAGTTACAACCTAATCCTTAGGAGAGGGCGGGGAAGCAATAAACGAAATACCCTGGAAAACAGGAATGTAGCAAGCTGCCATAAACTGAATCACACTTATTGGTCAATCTAGCTCAGGGGTCAGCAAACTTTTTCAGCAGGGGGGCGGTCCATTATCCCACAGACCTTGTGGGGGGCCGGACTATATTTTGGAAAGAAAAAAATATGAACGAATTCCTATGTCCCACAAATAACCCAGAGATGCATTTTAAATAAAAGCACAGATTCTACTCATGTCAAAACACACTGATTCCCGGACCATCTGCGGGCTGGATTTAGAAGGCGATTGGGCCGGATCCGGCCCACGGACCTTAGTTTGCCTACCCATGATCTAGCTCAACTATGCCTACATTGGCTGGCCAGAGATGGTGGTGGGAGTTGTCATTTGCCAACTCCCAAAGCGTCACAGGTTCTCCACACCAGCCCTAAATTATTCCCACCACATATTATGATGTCCTGTTCTGGACCGACAGCCTATCAATGATATTTAGGTAAAAGTACCCCTGACCGTTAGAGACGTGGGTGGCGCTGTGGTCTAAACCACAGAGAATAGGACTTGCCAATCAGAAGGTCGGCGGTTCGAATCCCTGCGACGGGGTGAGCTCCCGTCGCTCGGTCCCTGCTCCTGCCAACCTAGCAGTTTGAAAGCACGTCAAAGTACAAGTAGATAAATAGGTACCGCTCCAGCGGAAAGGTAAACGGTGTTTCCGTGCGCTGCTCTGGTTCGCCAGAAGCGGCTTAGTCATGCTGGCCACATGACCCAGAAGCTGTACGCTGGCTCCCTCGGCCTATAGAGCGAGATGAGCGCCGCAACCCCAGAGTCGGCCACGACTGGACCTAATGGTCAGGGGTCCCTTTACTTTTACCCCTGACCATTAGGTCCAGTCGCGGACGACTCTGGGGTTGTGGCGCTCATCTCGCTCTATAGGCCAAGGGAACCCCCGTTTGTCCGCAGACAGCTTCCGGGTAATGTTGCCAGCATGACTAAGCCGCTTCTGGAGAACCAGAGCAGTGCACGGAAACATGATATTTGAATGGCCCCAAATTTCAGCATTTTGAATGAGGGAGAACAAAAGACCCTCTGTCCCATTTCTGCACTGCACACATAATTGAATCAATATATATATATAAATAACATTTTGGTATGCACACATATTTGGTGTGTGTATTTGGGATACCATAGGAAGGAGGGGCTCTCTCATGATTTAATTCTGCAAAGATTTTATTGGGTGGGTGGGAAGATTATTTCCCTAAGGCCACCACTCGCCGATCCCTCTGCTACTACGATTTTTGCTCACCACGTGGGAGGTATTCTAAAGAAACCAGATTAGCATACATTAGAGAAGCAGTAGGCATGGCATTATCGGAAATGGGGAAATACATTTGAGAGTCACATTCAAAGGGGATTTGCACATCACAAAGCCCCCAGTGTGGCTTCCTGGCTGCGAATCCCAAAGCATATTAAAAATGTTAATGCTGAATTAGGTAGATGGCGATAACTTTGTTGTTGGTGAGGGATCTCAGGGACGGGAAAATGTGTGGACGTTAAAATAAAAGGAATATATAAAAAATGGGTCCTTTTGCCTGCACACACACACACACACACACCAGCCCAGTTAAAGATTTCCAAGGACCTTGTATTCATACAGGCACAGATTAGCGGAGAAAGACTTTAATTGAAATGCCGCACACAAGGAATTAAAAATAATAATGTGTTGATTAATGTTCACAGGAGCACTGGAGAAAAAGCTGCCTGCAACTGAGTCCTACTCATGAGGAGACTAGCTGAAACTAACTACCATAAGTTAGCCGTGTCTATTAACTTCAATGGTTCTGCTCTGAGTAGGGCTAGCATGGAATACCATTCCCCCTAATGGGAAGCTGAAGTCCAAGTGAGAGATGTCCACAGCAGAAAGGGAAATCTCGTTGGGTGCTAAATTTTATATGTCTCATTGTGTATTATTATTATTAATAATAATAATAATAATAATAATAATAATAATAATAATTTGCATTCCAACCTTTCTCAAAAGATCCCAAGGTGATGTACAACATTATAAAAACACATTACAGAACATCAATGATAAACACATAATAAAAAACATAATGACACACAGCCTAATAGTAAAATCATCATCCTAACAGTCTTTACACAGGCCATAGATTATTATTTAATAGCCATAGGCCTGGGTAAAGAGGAATGCTTTTGCCTGGCACTTAAAGAAATGCAGTGACGGTGCCAGGAGAATTTCTCTGGGGAGGGCATTCCACAATCAGGGAGCCACCACAGAAAATTCTTCCTATATGGGAGCCAGTTGACAGCAGACACACTGTATTATGTTGAAGAAAAATGACTTAAGATAAGGATCCTTGGGATAGGGAACTATGCTAGTGGCTACGGGGAAAGCTAAGAAAGTAAGGAAAGCCCTGTTGGAGGATCAAACCAAAGGCTGCATCCAACTAAGTTCTACTCACGAGTAGACCCATTCAAACTAATGGGTCCCAAGTTAATCATGGCCACTTCTTTCAATGCTAAGTGCAACTAGCATTGGATATAGCCCCCAAAGACCCATCTGGCCCAGGCTTCCCCAACCTGGTGCCCTCCAGCTCCCACCAGCCCCAGCCAGCAGGCTGGTCCACCATCCAGTCTCCCCCTACAGAGGCCTCCAGGGGGCCTGGAGTGGTCACAGGATACTGACTTGTGTTTGTGTGCGGACAAAAAAATGAGATTGTTGGCTCTGAGAAAGGGCAACGTGGCTAGCTAGAATCCTGAACAGGAGGATGACTCCATGCTGCAACATTTTGTTGCAGGCACCACTTGAGTAGATCAATGGTGAATCCTCCATGAATCAGTTCCCCCCTACCCACCCCCAATTTTAAAGCCATAGGTCCTAGGAAGGGGGCGGACTGAGCTCTGGAGGTAGAAGCGGCAGAAGTGGACTGGATTTGGAGAGGTTCTTTTGCTAAAGCTAAACTCTTCTTCTTTGCTACCTTCCTTTTGGCCTTTTGCAATCTCTGCCCGGGGAAGGACTGCTCCTTTAACATTCAAGAGCTCTCCGCCCCTCCCTCCCTTTCCACATGGCAGATTCCAGGACGGAGGCTCGCTCGCTGAACCTGCATCCAACTCGGCATTGTGAGAACACAAAGGGTCCCATTTACCTTGCCAGCCTCTTTCACTTGGCTGCTTTTCCGAACACTGGGCGCACTGTTGATGGATTTTCTCCTGCCACGGCAGGTCACCGCTTCTTCCCCTTGTTTTTGCCAAAGCCGCTCTCCAATTTCGCTCTATTCTCCGGTGAATATGTGGTTCTGCAGCAGAGGTGGTGTGGGTGCAGACTGGGGGTCTTCGTAGATCTGCAGGGGTGGAGAGCAGGGAATTTAGCACTGCATGCAAAGATCAAAACATGTATCAGGAGCAAGTATCTAGTCTGCTGACTATGAAAATAAGCTTCGAAATCTATAGGCCTGGTGAAATTTCAGAAGGCACCTGTAGAAGGGAGATCTAAATAAGATTTCCTATGGAGAGAAGAAGCAAAGTAAATTCACAGGTTGTGTGCAACTTTTTTTACAACCTTATGTTCCTGTAGCTTAGTTAGATGAACTTTTGCCAAAAGAAGAAATGAGCTGCCATTTTCAAATCTCTTGAAAATAGGTCACCCTGAAATCAATAAATCTATTTTGTATATGTAACTGTATGATGTATTATGTAATATGCAGTGCTTTTTTCTAGAAAAATAGGTGCTGGTATTCACCATGAAGTTGTTGCAGTAAGTGCCATTTTTTAAAAAAAACCATAAAAGAGATGCCGGTACTGAGTACCCTTGGGTACCCATTGAAAAAAACTGGTTGTATGCATAGCATGTACAGGAAAAATGGAGCTTACAAATTTTCTGATACTTTTACAATGTTTTGTACATTGTACATCACTTCTTATTGCTTAGAATAAATCGAGGTTCTTGTGCAATATTGTATATTGCCACTGAAAGAAGTATTAAAAATTAAGAAGTTTAGTTGTGTGCCCACAAGGCTTTCTATATAGACAAATTTTTGGACTCTACTAGAACGTTCTAAACACGTTTAGGATGCTCCAGGCACTATAAAAGTTCTTAAAAGTTCCATAAAGTTTTTTTAAAGTGCTAATACTCATGAAGAGTAGCGTCACATCTGCAGTGATTGCAACTTTTCATTTCGGGGTGACCTTTTACACAACTGAGAAGAATTAGTTCCCTTTTTTCAGTGTTTCTAAGCAAAGGTTCATCCATTTATGATTCAGGAAAACATTTTTTTTTTAAAAAAAGTCAAGAAGTTAAAACCCTAGCATGCACGTTTAGCAGAACGTAGACGGGTCATCTTTCATCGGGAAAAGAATTTGGCACTGCTGTTTGGCACACAGACTCGTAGGTGTATTTTCTGTGCTGCCACAGAATCGTGGCCTGCTCACAGTCCTGGTGCTCGAATTTCAGAGCTCAGGTTTTGGGGACTTTCCCTTGTACCCTAATAAGGAATTGGCTTGGTCCCAGCTACCTTATAACCTCGGCAGGCGATGGGACTTGTCTCTGGGGTTTTGACAGTGGTTGATGGTCACAACTGCTAGCCCGCCAATGCAACCTGATCTTAATACTACACACTCCCCCCCCCCCACCTGCAGCCAAGATGGTGCAGCTGAGTTGTGTAACAATTGCTATGTCGTGAAGCCAGAGGAGGGGAAAGGCACAGCCTCCACTCTGATCTCTGGGGGCTGGCACAGCACTGCCAACCCAAACAAGACCCAGAGCAGACTGAAGATTTATCTCTAGCCCACCATCCTGCATCACAAAGTGGCAGAACCAAACACGTCGAGGAGACCCACAAGCGGAAGGGCACAGAAGGCAACAGCTCTCTCCTAGTTCTAATCTCCATCACCTGGTATCCTAAGGTACACTGCCCCTCTCATTTAGAATGATAGAATCCTAGAGCTGGAAAGGACCCCATGGGTCACCCAGTCCAGGCATGTCCAGCAGGTAGATCGCGAACTACTGGTAGATCGCGGGGTGTTCCTGGTAGATCCTGGTGTTGAGATTTCCATTCCACCCTGAGGAGCAGACGTGTGGAACTGTTGCGTGTCACATGTCTGTTTACATTCCAGCACAGTTTCCTGGGAACTTCCATTGTGTATAGCTTTTGCTTTTCCTGTTCTCTCTGAGAAGATGAGAGAGGTGACATGTTTCTTTGTCCTGATTTATGATTAATAAATCTGTAGTTGTAGTATGCTCCCACAAGCCTCACGCCTATTCTGTGTGCGCAGTTCGCTCTGCTGATAGCGTGCCCTGGCTCTGAAGCCCGGGTCGCTGATTTACGTCGGAGCAGAGGCCGATGGTCTTTGCAGCAGGACCGCTGGAAGGGAACGGCCCAGCTGGGGCTTGCCAGCTGGCCTCCTGGCCCTCTGCATGTCGACAGCTGGTTGATCTCTGGCCCTTCAGTAATCTCCTTACAAAAAAGCACAAAAACCAACTTTGGCTTCCTAAAAAAAAGCTCCACAACTTCGGGTAGATCACTGCCAGTCTTTTTATGACAACGGGTAGATCACTGCCAGTTTTTTTATACTGAGTAGATTGCAGTCTATTGGGAGTTGGACGTCCCTGATCTAGTCCAACCCCCTGCGATGCAAGAATGTGCAAGGTAAAAAAGGTAAAGGTGAAGTCCAGTCAAAGGTGACTATGGGCCTGCGGTGCTCATCTCGCTTTCAGGCTGAGGGAGCTGGCGTTTGTCCACAGACAGCTTTCTGGGTCATGTGGCCAACAGGACTAAACCACTTCAGGCACAATGGGACACCATGATGGAAAGCAGAGCGCACAGAAAGGCCATTTACCTTTCCACCGCAGTGGTAACCTATTTATCTACTTGCACTGGCGTGCTTTCGAATTGCTAGGTTGGCAGGAACAGGGACAGAGCAACGGGAGCTCACCCTGTCGCAGGGATTTGAACCGCCAACCTTCTGATCGGGAAGCCCAAGAGGCTCAGTGGTTTAGACCACAGCACCACCCGCAGGAATACGCACCCATACTGGGATCAAACCTGTGAAGCTTGGCCTTATCAGCACCGTGCTCTAACCAACTGGCCTAACCAGCAAGACTAAACAAGGCAGAACACAGACATTCCACTTGGTGTCATGACTCACAATGTGTTCTCTATTTATTATATCGCTATTCATTTGGAAAAAGAGAGTGGTTCACAACATAAAGCTGTGCCATAAAAAGCCATATAAAAAGTTTAAATAGCCCTGTTTTTAATTTTTTTGACAATGCCGTCTAACCTGGTTATCACCTCTGGCTGCCCATCCTGTGGCAATGGGTTGAATCCAAAGCAAATTCTGCTTAGAGTAGACCCATTGAAACTAATGGACATGACTGAGTGCTGTAAGAACATAAGGTGAGCCTGATGGATGAGGTTAATGGCCCATCAAGTCCAGCAGGACATGAATTTGTAAAGTGTGGCGTAATGGCTTGGAGTGTTGGACTAAGACCAGGGAGAGCAGAGTTCGAATCCCTCTCAACTCAGCCATGAAGCTCTCTGGGTGACCTTGAGCCACTCACCATCTCTTAGCCTAACCCACCTCACAGGGTTGTTGTGAGGATGACATGGGGAGAATGCCATGTACACTACCTTGAGATCCTTAGAAGATAAAGCAACTGTGATAAAGAAATAAATAAGGCAGAGGGCCTTCTTGGTAGTGGCACTCTCCCTGTGGAACACCCTCCCGATAGAGGCCAAGTAGATAAATAGCTACACGCTTTTAGAAGACATCTGCTGGCAGCCCTGTACAGGGAAGTTTTTCTATTGGTTTATGTTTTATTGTGTTTTTAATATTTTGGGGGGAGCTGCTCAGGGTGGCTGAGGCAACCCAGTCAGATGGGTGGGGTACCAATATAATAAAACAATAATGATAATAATAAAGATGGTGGCCATCATTAATTAGATGCAACCCAACAAGCCTCACACAGCAGTGACATACAAAGAACTGGAGTTCAAGGAAACAGAAATTCATGTGTTCAGGGTAAAACACCCCTACAGGAAATGTATACTTTCCCCATCAGATATACACCATCTTCATTGTATTTTCAGCATCTACTGAAGACATTACTCTTTAAAGAAGCCTTCTTAAGTGGGGATTTGTGTATCAGTCAGTATCCGTATTGGAGATTCTATCTATCTATCTATCTATCTATCTATCTATCTACACACACATATATATACACACACATACGCACACATACACAAACAAACATATATACATATACGGTACATATACATATACATATATATACATACTGCATATATACATATACAGTGGTACTTCTGGTTGCGAATGGGATCCGTTCCGGAGGCCCGTTCGCGACCTGAACAGAATGCAACCTGCATCTGCGCACACGCGGGTCGCGATTCGCCGCCTCTGCACATGACGTCATTTTGCACATCTGCGCATGCGGCAAAACCCGGAAGTAACCTGTTCTGTTACTTCCGGGTCGCTGCGAGACGCAACCTAAAACGCGCAACATAACATGAAGCAAACATAACATGAGGTATAACTCTGTGTGTGTGTCTGTGTGTGTGTGTATACACACACACAGTGGTACCTCGCAAGACGAATGCCTCGCAAGACAAAAAACCCGCAAGACGAAAGGGTTTTTTGTTTTTTGAGCTGCTTCGCAAGACGATTTTCCCTATGGGCTTGCTTTGCAAGCCGGAAACGTCTTGCAAGTTTGTTTCCTTTTTCTTAAACCGTTAATACAGTTGTGACTTGACTTCGAGGAGCAACTCATAGCACACGGTGTGGTAGCCTTTTTTGAGGTTTTTGAAGACTTTGGTGATTTTTGAAGCTTTTCCAAAACTTTCCCGACACCATGCTTCGCAAGACGAAAAAAATCGCAAGACGACAAAACTCGCGGAACAAATTAATTTCGTCTTGCGAGGCACCACTGTACATATATATACATACTGCATACATACATATACAGTGGTACTTCTGGTTGCGAATGGGATCTGTTCCGGAGGCCCGTTCGCGACCTGAACAGAACGCAACCTGCATCTGCGCACACGCGGGTCGCGATTTGCCGCCTCTGCGCATGACGTCATTTTGCACATCTGCGCATGCGGCAAAACCCGGAAGTAACCTGTTCCGTTACTTCCGGGTCACTGCGGGACGCAACCTAAAATGCGCAACATAACATGAAGCAAACATAACATGAGGTATAACTGTGTGTGTGTGTGTGCGCAATTGCTTTAGGGAATAATAGAGTGGCCCTGACCTGCTTCTCCATCTCCAGTTCCTAATCAGAGAGAAACACACCCACCCACCCACCCACACCCATCCCATC